GCATGCTCTAGTGCCAGCTCTTCAGGAGGCTGAGGTGGGAGGATCACCTGAGTCTGGGAAATCTAGGCTGCAGTGAGCCATGATTGAGCCACTGCACCCTTGCCTGGGCAACAGAGCAAGACCTTGTCTCTCTCTATATACATATGTCTACAAATTCTTTGATACATCTTCCTTCAAGAAATAGAGTTTAAATTCCCCTCCCCTTGAGTGTGGGCTAGGTTTAGTGACTCACTTATCCCTTTATCCCTAAAATAGCATATGGCAGAAACGCAAGAGTGTAATTTTCAAGACCAGGTCCTAAAAGGCATTGCGTCTTTTTCCTTGCTTTGTTCTTTTGGATCACTGGCTCTGACGGAAGTTAGCTACCATGTCATGAAGAGACTTAAGCAGCCCTGTGGGAAGCCCATGTAGTGAGGAAATAGGATTCCTTCCAACAGCCAATGAGGAACTGAGGCCTTCTGTCAATAGCTTTGTGAGTGAGCCATCTGAGAAATGGATCCTCCAGCCCAGTCAAACATTCAGATGACTGCAGCCTCAGCTGACATACTGACTGCAATTTTATGAGAGTCTCTGAGTCAGACCCAGTTAAGCCACTCTGAATTCCTGGATGCATAGAAACCGTGAGATTAATACATAAGACGGTAAGTTTTGAGATAATTTGTTAGCAGCAACATACAACTAATATACTGGGTAAGAGATTAGATAGATACTAAAAAAGTGATGTAGTTTCCACTTTAAATAGAATAGCTGGGGAAGACCTCTGTGAGGTTGTGGCATTTGAGCAGAGACTGAAAGAAGGGAGGAAGCATGCCCTGTGGCTACCTAAGGATAGAACAAATAAGACCCAGGGAATGGCAAGTGCATTGGGCCTAAGGTGGGAGCATGTGTGTCATGCTTGAGGACCAGTAGGAGGCTAGTTTGGCTAAAGTGTTGTGAGCAAGAGGGAACACCGATAGGAGATCAGTTGGTGGGGTAGGTAGAGGGAATCCTTTGTATATTAAAATAAGGATTTAGAATAATAGCCAAGGTATAATGGGAATCAGTTGGAGAGTTTTGAGCTGTGATGTGACATGATCAGATTTATGTTATATAGGATCATTTAAGTAAGGAGTATGGGGATTGAGGTAGATCCTCAATATATAGTAACTACTATTACTAAAGAGATTATGAGAGCTTAGTTATAGCAATCTTAGCTCTGCCCTTTCCTAGTCAAAAGTCCTTGGGCAAGTTACCTAACTTCTGCCTCTCAGTTTCCTGATCTGTAAAATAAGGACCTCAGAGGGTAATTGAGAGGGTAAAATAAGTTAACATGTCTATCTTCTAGAACAGCTAGAGAAAAAAAATGAAGTAGAGTAAGTGAAAGGTTCCCCCTGCATGATTCTGCAAGATCAGTACAATTCTAGTTACTCAAGACAGTGTTAAAAATGGTATGGATGATCTCTGTTCATTTCATAAGTGTATTAATCAGGATTCTCTAGAGGGACAGAGCTAACGGAATATATGGATTGAGCTCTTATGAAGACTTCTCAATGCTTGCTTCTCATTTTATTCCATGTAAGACTTAGAGACAAGTGAAGATGTTACATGGCTTATGATAACGACACTAACACACATATAATCCACGGGATCATACAGAATTGGTATTTTCTGGTCCTGGTAATTTGAAAAGTTTAGCCCTTGAAGCAATTGGCTTAATTTAGGATAAAAAATCCTGAGGTTGAAGGATACTTAGATGTCAGTTGGACCAACTTGAGTTTTTAGATTGGTAGAACAGCACCACATTTATCGAAGTTGTCTCAAATTACACAAGAAACTAGTAGAGGAAGGGACCACTAGAACCCTCGTCTCCATTTTGTTTTTCCTACACCTCTTTGGAAGAGATGTCATTGGGAATGAAGCCATTCTTTGCCCAGACTAAGGACCACATTGCTGTTGGTCAGGTTAAAAGTTGGGCAGGGACGAAATGACTGGGTTCTGATTGACTTGCACCCTAGAGCATCTCAAATAATATTTTACATTTTCTTTAATAAAATAAAAATTAAGCTCTTTGAAAACTAAAATGTGATACAAATCTTGGCATTTTATTCATTTTATAAAAGGAGAATCTGAAGTTACTGTGACATCGATAGACCCTAAATTCTTAAGTCTATATTTGAATTATGTAAATGGCACTAATTAAATTTAAAAAATGAATATTGAATTCTCTGAAGCTGGATATGGGATAAAATGTATTCACAGAAGAGTACATTAATTAGAATATGTATTCTTTTTATAAAATCTGAGAAGCCGAATAATCATGGTCATGAAAAATTGCCATTTTGTTATTTCTCTAATGTAATATTCTAAACAGTTTCTGATGAAATGTGAATAGTTTTACTAATTGGATAAGTCTCATGTGCTTTTGTAGCAAACATTGGGGAAAAGTGAAGTTTTCGTAGAGTTAACATCAACCATAATCCTACTATCCAAAGATAACCTTTCATAAAACTTTGTGTGTGTGTTTATTCTTATTACAACAGGGATGTATGTTCACCATAGTAAGTTTAGAAGTGCATATAAATAGCAGAAAATAAAAATCTCAGTTTGAGAACTGCTTTAATAAATATACTATAATTTAAAGAAAATGATTCATCTGCTTTTGAACATTTACAATGTTAGTATACAATATTTTAGTCACATAAATTATACTTTGGTTCTATAAAAATAACTTAGCCATTACATCTTAAAAATAAATATTTTATGTCTTGATTTCTCATATTCAGAAAATTTCAAGAGGACTGTTAACAGTTTCAGTTTGCAGAGGGTTTAATGAACTGAGACTTGCTGAACATCCCTGAGTTTGGGGTTGGAGAGTTTGGGGTCGGAAGGAGGAATGAGCAACAGCCAGATTGCAGAGGCTATAGAAGTTAGGGAAGAAAGACAGCACACATAGAACACTTGTTTGTGCCTTGTGTCTATGGAAGGCAGATGAAATATGGGAATAGCTTGGGGTAAGGATCAGAAGAATTTGGGCATCAAGTTCAAAGAAAAGTTATTTTGATGATAAATGAAGATTTTAAAAATTTTTAGTAATTGAGGAAGGAAATAGTTGAGAAACAAAGAAATTCTTGATGCTCTGAGGTAGTCCTAATATCTCCATTTCAGCCTTAGTTTAAAGACATAATTCACTTAGAGATTTCTGATCCCTCTCTGGATACCAGGACCATTTATAATCAATAGGCATTAATTCAGCAAGTATTTACCAAGCAACTTCTAGCCTGAGTGCTGGAGAGACAACTATACTTCATAGACAACATAAATAAGACATAGTTCCTTCTAGACCTAATAAATGAAGATTGTACTGGTAGAACAAGAACCCCTTTTTTTAACCTTAGAAGTCACCTTGGAAGCACCCATGCCGGTTCTGTAATAAGTCACTTTAGTGTGCCTTTTTTTTTTTTTTAAACTAAGAGTATGGTTTTTGGAGTTATCTGGCTCCTGGATTTGAATTCTTACTCTGTAATGTATAAGTTAATTATTTACTTGTTCTTGAGCAAGCTGAGCATAATAATACCTACATATTAGGGTTGCTGTAAGAATTAAGTAGATAATGAATGTACAGTGTGGAACTGAGGACCTGATGTAGCACAAGCCCTCAATGAATATTAGCTGTTTTGGTGAAAATGATGGTGGTGATAATGATGATTCCTTGGGTTCCTGGTTTGGCCTTTCCTTCCTGGTTCTTCTTTCCCATTAATATGACGTGGCAAAAACAACAGAGAGATAGAGTTAGGGAGGCATTAGAAGCAAAATGTTAATTGATTTGAAGTCGATGGGCTTATAGCAAATAGATGTGGCAAGTCCTACCCATTGTTGGCATGATGTCTTCCAAGCAATCATGACTTTTATAGAGATAAGTTGGTTTCATGGAAAAAGCCTTGAACTGTGTCATTAGTCTTGAATTTTAATTCGAGTTCATTAATTAAAGTAAAACACCTAAAACAGTGCCTAGTACACAGAAAGCACTCAATAAATGTTTCTGTCATTGCAGGCCATTACCATTCATTCATTTATTCTTTTCTTCATCCAACACATATTTGGTGAGAGCCCACTAGCTGCCAGTTTCCATGGTAGACTTGGTGGGTACAGGGTGAACTAGATAAACAGGGCCTTTGCCACTATGAAGACATAGTTCTAGTGGAGGGGAGATCTGCTATTCTTGGCCAGGTCCCTAAGCCCTTTGGGGTTTTAATATCTTCATCAGTAAAATAAAAGCGAAATTCAGGCCAAGCGTAGTAGCTTACAACTATAATTTCAGCTGGGAGACCAAGGCAGGAGGATCTCTTGAAGCCAGGAGTTCCAGACCAGCCTGGGCAACATAGTGAGAGACTTAAAAACAAAAAAATTAGCCAGGTATAGTGGCTAATTTTCCAACTATCTGGGAATAGTTCCAACTATCTGGGAAACTAAGGTGGGAGAATTGCTTGAGCTCAGGAGTTCAAGGCTGCAGTGAGTTATGATTGCACTCCAGCATGGGCAACAGAGTGACACTCTGTCTCTAAATAAATAAATAAATAAAAAAAAAAAAGAAAGAAAGAAAAGAAAGAAGAAAAGAAAACAATGTAAAAAAAATTAAGCTTTAAAATTTCAGGATAGTATCACCTTATGATACTATTTACTTGACTGACTAGATGCACATTATTTGTTTATTTATTCATTCACTCAGCAAATGCTTGTTGATGCCTGCTATGTGTAGGCACTGTGCTAGGTGCTAGGGATACAGTACTAGCCAGAGCAGACATGAGGTCTGCCCTCATGGAGCATTAATTACAATCTGTGAGGTACATGTTGACTAGGTGATTGTGAATGTGATTAGTTGTATAAAGGGCAAAATGTGAGTTTTGTTGAACAGAAACTAAAAATGTTTGTTATTTTTGATAGAAAGCATGTGATAAAACATTTATCCAGCTTGCTTTTTCCTCCTATTTTATGAGTTTACATCTTCTTGTCTGCTTAAACAGGAGCAGTTGGACATCATGGAGACAACTTAGTAGAGAAGATCATTTCAGCACTTCCCCAACTCCCAGGCCACACAAATGATGTGATGGTTAACATGATAGAGCTCACTGCACTCCAAACTGAGGAGGAAAATTGTAATGTGGTTGCACCAGGCTGTCTTGCACAATCCAAGTAAGATATGTAGTTTTTGTCCTTTTATCTTTCTCTATCTTCCCCTTTCTTTTTCTCCTAGATTGAATATTCCCATAGAAAAAAAAATGAAGAGTTGGTCTGGTTGAAAATTTCACAGTTGGTAGCATTTAGCAAAAAGCATTTTTTCTTAATTTTGAAATAACCATATCCACTAAACATAACAATAACCCAGAAAGTATGGAATTTTATAGAAGTGTCATTTACATGTTAGCTTGTTCCCAGGGTTGGTTAAGTGAGTCAGTTTATGTATCTGCATTTCACAGATAGTTTCACATGGAATTGAGTCTAGTCTTCCTCAGTTTCTTTTTCCCGAATGACTTTTTCACATCACTAAAAAGCAACTCAAACAACTCAACCGTGCCATCTTTTTATATTAGATGATATGCCTGTGGATATCAACAGAAGTTTTTATTTCTAAGTACATTTTTTTCTCACGCTTAGAGAAATCAAAGAGAGAAGATTATGTACGTTAAGTTATGCAGAATTTAAAAAATAAAAATTTCTCCAGAAATGACAATAAAAATATATGGTAGTCACCTTCTCAACTTTGTCCTTCATTAACAATTCTTATGGGAATTACTCTCATTTGAAAAAATAAAAGTATTAGAAGGGAATAAAGTATGTAAGTGTATCTGTTTCTTTTATTCTCATGTTCTATATTTTTAAATAAAACAATATCTTTCAGTATTATAGTTTTAAATCTTCACAGTAGCAGATGCATTTGGAATTTCCTCCCATATTTATTAATATAATTAGTATATGTAGCTCCTGAAGTTTTTAGTCTTTTTGTAATAGTTAACAGTACTTATTGGATACCCAATGTTTGTGGGTCAATGTGGGAAGAAAATGGGACATTCTAGACTTTTGTCTATTTTGTGTGTTTACACATACAATAAAAACATAAGCCTAAAGACTTGCAGCTCTACAAACCCAGAAGTAATGTGATTGGAAACACATTTAGCTGTTCAGAGAGCCATTCAGAAGTTAATTATTAAGGATTTACTGTGAGCCTTACTCTAGGTTAACTAACAAGAAGGACATAAAATAATATATTATTCTTCGAACACTCTTTTTGTTGGGGAGTCATGATTTATACCCGATCATAATTTGAAAACAATAGAAATGATTTGAAGTCAAGATTAATGTATCTGTTATGGAGTATAATGTCTACAAGTAAAGTATCAAGTTAATATGGTCTTTGTAGATCAATGTAGACCTTGAGGAAGTGGCAGTGCTTTAAGTCTTGAATGACTTAGAAAAGAGGAGGGGGTTGATGTGAACCAAAGGATATAAACAAAAAATGGTCAGGGCCCGATGTCAATGAGAGATGACCTCATTGGACCACTTCTGTCATCTGCTCTGCTCACATTTTTTGGGTTATGAGGAGCTAGGTACACTTCCAAGCATTTTACATTTGGGAAATCATTTTAAGTTTTACAGTATCCTAATGAGGTAGATTTTATTATTCCCCTATTTTATAGGTAAGGAAACTGAGGCAAAGATATACTAAGTAACAGAGTTAGTGGGAGGTAGAGCTAGAAATGAGTCCAGAATGTTTGATTTTAGGCCAGGCGCAATGGCTCATGCCTGTAATCCCAGCACTTTGGGAGGCCGAGGCTGGTGGATCACCTGAGGTCAGGAGTTTGAGACCAACATGGTCAACGTGATGAAACCCTGTCTCTACTAAAAATATAAAAATTAGCCGGGCATGGTGGCGGGCACCTGTAATCCCAGCTACTCAGGAGGCTGAGGCACAAGAATATCTTGAACTCGGGAGGCGGAGGTTGCAGTGAGCCGAGATCGTGCCATAGCACTTGAGCCTGGGCAACAGAATGAGACTCTATCCCAGGAAAAAAGAAAAAAAGTTTGACTTTAGAGCCACTGTCTTAACTTCTATGCTATCTATGTGAAGGATCCAGAGAAGAGCTAGGCTCTTGAATAGATTCAAAGAGATGAGAGACAAAAATAAAGTTACTCTTTGAGTTAATTTGGGAGTCCTATGTTTTCAACATAGTGATTATACAAAAAATGGAAATCAATTTTGGCTAATTTAAGCAATAAAGGGTTATTAAAGGGTATTGGGTAGCTAAAAGAGTGAAAGGAAGGATTATTAATCAGATTTTCGAAAGGACAAAATAGTTCCAGGAATGTAGGAAGCAGAGGCTCAGGAAAAGCCTCTTTAAGGCATTGACATTAGAGAGACTGAATTTTAACTGTTTTCTTCAAGTCCTTCATAAGATTCAGATTCTGGGGGAAATGGTAAGATTGGATTTTCTTGGCCTTTGTGCCCACCTTTTGCTCAGTGTGGGTTGGGAGCTCTTTATACTGACTAGAATTACGCTAATATCATATGGCATGGCAGAAGGGTGGTTCTTCAAAGGAAAATGGAAACACTTATCAGAAGATGGGGGAACAGATACTGGACATGCAAAAGTAGTAGATGCCCCTTAATACTAGCACACACTTATAGAGGACTTTTTGTATAACAGGCATCATTCTGAGCACTTAGTATGTATTAACTTATGTACTTCTCACGGTATCTCTACGAGGTGGATTCTCTTAGTGTCCCCCTTTATAGAAGAGGAAGGGACTTAAATAACATGCCTAAGGTAACGCATGCAGTTAGACGTGGTGGAGGCCTATATTTGAACCCAGGCAGCATGGCTCTAAAATTAGTGTTTACCGTTACCCTATGCCACTTCCACAGAAACCTTAAGTAATTACAAAAAGAATAAGTAAGCTCCCCAGAGGAGTTTGCAAAAAGAAAGAAGAGTTGAGTCCGTCATTGGACAGCAGGTAAAGAAGCAAATTCTTAGAAGTGTAGTAGAACAAACATAGGCATAAAAGTATCTCAGTCCTATAAGTAATGTTTTGATTATAGTCACTCTGTTTAACCTTGACTCCCCAGCACTGATTCTATTACAAGCTGAGACCAAAGCTAAGCCAATCTTGGAATCTCATTTCCCTTGGCAGTGATGCTTTAGAAATGGGCAAGTGATAAGAGAGAAAGTCTTAGGGCTTCTTGGTCAGATTTCTTTGCTACTGACAAGAGACTCAATAGAAACGTGTCCATTTTTATTCTTCCAGATGTGACCAATATGTCAGACATATTGAGTCTGATAACTGCTGCAGCTATCTTGCTCACATCTGCAAGTTAATGCTAACACGTGAAAGGTGGCCTTGCCAAGAGAACTACAGAGAGGAGCAGCTATAAGCTCCTTGATGCACGATGTTTGGACATCATGTTGTATGGGAGAATATATTTCCTATTGTTTAAGCCAAATTTAGTTGCTGTTTTCTATCACTTGTAGACAAAGTCTTCATGACACATTTTTTACACCTCATTATTTCATCTTATAAAATGAGGGCATTGGCCTAAATGACTCCTAAGGCTTTTCTTGGGTTTAAAATAAAATTCCTTCCTAACTGAGCCCCTGCTGTGACTCAGCTCTGCCTCTCACTTAGGCTATGTTCGTGTATACATATTTTGTCTCCATGGTCTTTGCCTTCATTGGTTGTCCTTTTCTTCTCATTAGACTATGAATGAATGTTATCATAGAATATCATAGAATTTGAGTGTGCCATTCAAAAATCACACCTGTAATCCCAGCACTCTGGGAGGCCAAGGTTGGTGGAACACTTGAGGTCAGGAGTTTGAGACCAGCCTGGTCAACATGGTGAAACCCCATCTCTACTTAAAAAAAAAAAAAAAAAAAAAAATTAGCCAGGCATGGTGGCGCATGCCTGTAATCCCAGCTACTCAGGAAGCTGAGGCAGAAGAATCACATGAATCTGGGAGGTGGAGGTTGCACTGAGCCAAGATTGGGCCATAGCACTGCAGCCTGGGCAATAGAGTGAGACCCTATCTCAAAAAAAAAAAAAAAAAAGGAGTATGGTCTTAAGTGTCAAAGATAAGTCTAGAGGGATATAAACAAAGAAGAAAGCTTTAGAGACAGCAAGTTCGGTGAAGTAGTGAAACTGGAAGTCAGGTTGTAAAAGATAAAGCAATAGGTGGTAAGAAAATTATAAACAAATAGAGGTCTAAAGCAATAATTGGGAGAAAAATAGTAGTTTTTTTTCAATTGCTTGGAAGACTGAGGGAATTATGTTGATTAATTTATCTGCAAAAGAAGAACTGAAATAAATCACAGCTTTCCTAGCATAATTTATATGTCTATCAAAACAATAATAACTACTACCTTCGACCACACCTACCAGAAACTTCTCAATGAAATGAGAGTAAGGATAAAAAAGTTAGTACTGAAAGGCAAAACAAATGGGTGCTTGGCAACAAATATGCCTACAATGGAAAAATCTTTAAAAAGCAATGAGCTTTGATAGTCAAAATTTATTTGCTAAGATAATTTTTATAAAAGGCTGTTTAGAATTATAGCAATTGAAGTTACTGCCAATGCAAATGAGAAACTGAGAATTTAAAATGCATTTTAACATGGACTTCCAGTCCTTATTCTCTGGATTATGTGGAATATTTCAACAAGAAGTAGGCAGAATCTTTTCTGCTTTTATGTTTTCCTCCTGTTGAAATGGGTTTTTATTCTGTGCCCCGGCTCCACTATCTCTAACCGTTTTTAGGTCCTTAAACAACCTTCACCTGATGACCTACTTGCATTTACTACATCTGCGCTTGGCGCTCCTGGCTCTGCGCTAACCCTGCACCTGCAGTGCTGCTGGTTCTGTTGGGTTCAGTATCTGCCTCTCCCATTGCTCCCTGCATGCCTCCCTGTGAAAGCCAAGACCTCACAATGGCCTACAATATTATGTGCCATCTAGCTTCCTGGTGCTCTCTGACTGCATCCTTTCTTTTCTTCTTTCCAGCCACATAAGCTTCCTTGCTGTTCTTCCTATAGGACGGGCTAGATCCTGCCTCAGGGCTTTGGCTCTTATACCCCACCCAGATCATTCTTCCTACAGATATACACTTAAGCCCATTTCCCTTTTTCCTTCTTAGTGAGACCTTT